GGTGTGAAATACTAAAATAGGTCTAGTTCACAATCATCTAAAAGCTGCGGGCCTATAAAAGCATCTTAAATTCTTGGACGGAGTTAAAGGGGTTCTCAAGGTGATAATTTTGATGAGACTTCACATCTAAATGAGCTCAAGTTTATTTGTCGCAGGGAACTTGAAAAGGAGAATCCAGACGGGCACCTTGGATCTTTTGGAATGGTGGAAAGCAAGGGAAAGTTATTTTCCGGTTCTTGCAAGGATGGCCGGATATTTATCTATTCAAAGCTTCACAGTGCATCAGAAGCGCTTTCATGTCAAGCAAGACTTAAATAAGGTGAATCATAGAGCCATCTATGAGGGAGAGTTGAAAAATCAGTACTATTCAGAGATTTGGATCCGCTCGGAAAGAAGAAACTTTGGACTTGCAGAATCACAACCGGAGATAGACGAAGCTTATGAAGAAAATGATAGCGGAACTATTGCGGAGGATGCTGCTTCGCCAAGGAAGCGGTGATGCAAGCTTCTTTCCGCCACCACCGAACGGAACTCCTCCGAGTACCTTGAAGGATTTATGAGATTTGGTTAGATGAGTACAATTAGGTTATGGTGTAATTGTACTTGGCATATCTTCTTTTAGTTTTTTTTCCTTTTAATGGGTGGTATTATAGTACCCTTGTTTGTCTCAATTCATTGGAGGGAAGAAGACTATAAAAGATATGCCATTTTTTGGTAATAAAATTATAAGACACATGCCCTAGAATATCTCTTGTGCAATATTTTTTTGTCTTTAACTATCGTTCAATTATTTATAAAGCTTATAATATATATACATAACATAAATATATACTACAAGAAAATATATAAGCTATAATATATATACATAACATATCAATATATACTACAGAGAAAATATATAAGGGAATATATATACATACATACAATATTACTACAAGAAAATATATAAGGGAATATATATACATAACATACTATATATACTACAAGAAAATATATAAAAGGGAATATATATACATAACATACTATATATAGTATAGGCTATACTAGTATACTATATATATTTATATTTACCATGAGAAGTAGTACTATATATAATACTAACA